CCTGCGAAGACACGACGCCCCACTCTGCAGCCTGGAAGGGTGGTGGAGGGGCTGCCTTCTGGCACGCAGGTGAGGGCGGGGCTGGGTCTGCTGCCCAGACAACCACGGCCCGGAGTCTCAGGAAAGGTCTGGGCCAGCCTCTGGGGCGGGGTCGCGGGGACCGTGCCTCTCAGCCTGCAGCCTCACACCAGTCCTTTCTGACCACCTAACGCCCGATTTTTCTAACATTTACAGCAAGCCTGAGTTTTCAAGTCACTTTTCCAGATACCAAGCTTTTTTTTTTAAGCTTTGTTTTGTAACTTGGTGTGTGTGGGGGTAATTAGGTGTATTTATCTGTTTAATGGAGGGACTGGGGATTGCACCCAGGACCTCGTGCGCGCTAAGCACATGCTCTACCACTGTGCCACATCCTGTGTACCACACCCCTTCTCCACCAGACACCAAGTCTTCATGTGAGAACTTAGTGGGAAATTGTGTCTTTAATAATCAGTGGGAGAGAGGCTGACTTACGAACCTAAATTACTTTCGTATTTTATTCTTAGGAGTTGAGATTTATTTAAGAAAAATATTTGCTATACACCAAAATCACACACACAGAGATGCCTGCTTGTGAACATTTTCTGAAATCCAAAGAGTTGGCTTCTGCATTTGGCCAACTTCTTACGATGTGCAGGACATCTGGGCGGTCATCCTCTTCCGAGGCGTCAGTTAGTTAAGCGCATTCCAAGCTAAAAGTCCCACGATTGTCCCTCTAAGGGGTGAAGCGCAGGCTTGCTTCCTGGCGTCGCTGGGACCTGCAGACCTGTTCCTGGTGGCAGACTCGTGCGCTGTGGTGTTGAAGCCGTGGTTCGTCTGAGTCCCCAGCAACCGGGCTGAGCTTCGGGGGTCTGGCCGGTTCCCCCAGGTGGGAAAACAGAATTCCCATTTGCTTCGTGCCCTCTGATTCCAACGCTGAGACTGCGCATTATTTACTGCTGGATGACTCCCCCTGGAATTTAGTGAGGACTGAGTACAAACACGACGGATGTGACTGTACAGGCTACTCTGCACAGCCAGGGTCTGTGCGGGCTGTGGCCACACGCGTCTCACTCCGCTCTGCCAGGAAGCTCGCTTGCTTCGTACCTTCAGTTATCGCGAGGAGGAGAGGTATCGGGGGCTTCCGCTTAATTGCGCTTATAGCCCAAATGTGGGCAAAAAAGACCTGTGGTATGAAGTAAAAGGAAAACG